ATCTAGCATAGCGTTAGTTCTGGCAGGTCACGTTAGTCAAGCTCGCATCAGCTGACTCTCAGCTGATCTCCATCAACCTATGGGAATACGACACCTATCTAAGCATTCATATATAAGGTCTCTCAGTATTGTCAGCAGTTTTCGCATTTCTCAATAGCTAATTACCCTCCTCCATCCCCAACTCCTCCTCTGTCAGTCAGGATTCAGCCTTCTGATTCTCCTTTGAATCAGACTAATTCTAAAATGTGTACATAACATTATTGAACTTTAACGATATCTGCAATACATTTATGTTGGTTCTGTTCTGTTTACCCTGGGGGGGTTATCGCTGCTCTCCCTGCTCTCATCCATGCTAGGCTGCATGGATGCGCAGGGAGTTCTTGCCCAGAACAGAACCATACCGCCAATCCAAACTGTATGCTAATTGTCAATCATCTTTGACGATAGTGGTCCTGACAGAAATAATCAATTTTGTATACACACAAGATTTAAAAACAAAAATCTTTGTATTCTAATCTTTATATTCTTTCTTTCACTAATTTGTGAACATAAAATTTCAGGAGCAGTATTGCACCACTGTTGCCTGCGTGAGAGATCTAATGCCTTATTTATTTTTGCATTTAAATGCAAGATGTATAATGTCCCAATGATTTGGAGGAATATTTGTTACTTCCTGATGCAAAATTATCTTTGTTTGTGAACAGTTGTTGCAACATAATACAACATATAATACGATGAACGCAATGAACAAAATAATGTGATGTGGACTGTTGCTGTGTTTTTGTAGGTTGTCTGGCTGTATGGTGACAGAGGAAGGCTGTGGTTATGTGTCTTCAGCACTGAATTCCAACCCCTCACATCTGAAAGAGCTGGATCTGAGCTACAATCACCCAGGAGATTCAGGAGTCAAGCTGCTCTCTGAAAAACTGGAGGATCGAAACTGCAAACTGGACAAACTCAAGTATGTCAAGCAGGAAGAGTTTCAGGTTTTATTATTTAAAATCTTCAGTGTCTCTGTGTATATCTACATGAGTATAGGGGTTTCCAGAGGATGCAACAAAATAAAGGATAAAATCTTAACTAAACTGCTCAGACAAAACAAATTAACAACAAAACAGTACTTTAAATGCCTAACAAATCACAAAGCAGGAGCAAACAATGAAAATACAACAAGAATGGCAGCCACCTCCCTAAAGCTTCTATAAAAGGTAGAAACAAACATATTCAAAATTATAACTGAAGTTACAAACATAATCATCTTGTAAATGAAGGAATAAAAAAGCCCTAACTTTAAGTATGACAAGTTACACGTTGGAGTCACTATTTTAGTAAATTAGTTTACATTCCCTCAGATTATAGATCAATTCAAACAAACTGACACTCAACCATAAGAATACACAACAGTTTTAACAAAAAGGCTGGGGAGGACACAGACAAAGAAACAAAGAAACCTCAGAAGAAACTTTTTAAAAGTTAAATTCATCAACACATTATTATGATGGATAGACTATTTTATATTACAGTTACAATTATATTGCAAATGAAAAACAAGTTAAACCTGAAAGCATCACTTCTTCTCGTCTGATAATCTTCACAATCACCAAGTCTGCTAGCTGCTTTCTAACTGAAAAAAAGAGCTGTGAAGGGTTTCAAGACTCACACAAAATGTGCCACAAGCTATCAGAGAAACAATTAAACGGCTGTATAACTTAACTTTCATATAATAGTCACTTCAAACAGGTCCACATCACAGATGTCTTCTCTTACATGTGCTGAGTTTCTATCCGGTCCAAACAGAAAATTAATGTCACCCTCACTACACCTCTGATTAGACCATATGGATTATAATATAAACAGGATTTTAAATAAAATAAATAAAAAACACTAAATGATAATATCGTGTATATAAATAACCATCTATGATATAAGCCTACGAGTTAACTGTATGATTAGGTTTACATTAATGGCAAGTTAGCTAATGAGCTAACTGTTCAAGTAGTGTTTCTCTATCAAACCTATATCTTTCAAGTTATTTGCATACTGTATTATATGATATTTAAGTAATACAGTTAATTACAGGATCCCTATACGATTTCTGACAGGCAGTTCACTCTCCTGTGATGTGACCCTGTTCCCCTCACACACACACACACACACACACACACACGACGCGTTACTCTGCGCTGTGCAAAACTCCACATTTGAACAGTCAATAGCAAATACTTAAACTGATAACAAAACATACGCACAGTTGCTGATTCAGAAGCACCAGATTGTCATAGCAAAGTCGGAATTAACTTTAACGGAATTTTTTTTTTTTTAGAAAGAGCGTTTGTGCACAGCCAGCCTTGTACTCTTCTAGGTAAAAAAAAAAAAAAACTGTTGTCAATAAAATTTGTCGCCAAAATTATTCTGTTGTAAATACATCTTAACAATGATTCCTAATTGTATCTACTTCCGGAAGGCCAAATAAAGTGCTTTTGCTTTCGCACTGAAACGCACAGCGTCTCCCTGACATGGCTGCATCAACACGACTGCTGTTCCTGAAACCACGCCTTCTTTCTTTGCGTGCACATTTGGGCGGCGTTATGCAAATCTTTCCACAAAGTGACGTAGACATATGGGGGCATGTTAGAACGAGCTGTTTTAGGTAGGTGTGGCTGACTCTTAACTTTTATAAAGAATATCTCTTTGGATTTGAGACTTTAGTCTTAACAACTTTACAGATCTTCTTTATGCACCAAGAGCTTGTAACACTCCAAAGAGAAAGGAACATTTAAAATCGCATCATATGACCCCTTTAAGCAGTTTTACACATTCCATCTTCACACTATTGCAAACATTTTTCTGCAACAATTCTCTGTAGTGATACTTATACACTTAACATCCCATTCAGCTGCTCTTGCCAAAAGCAATTATACTTAATGTCTCAATCCAACATATATATTGTCGTCAACTGTATATGTGTCAAGTGATGTGTGGTCCAACTCATCTCCATGTTTGGGCAAAATCCAGTCACTGTATACTTTTGCACGTAATACATGAAAATGTGAGCCAAGTACGTACTGGTGAATGGTGATTAAATCTAACAATTGCAAAGTTAGGTCAGATCATGTCAAACCGTGCAAATAATTATTATTGTTATACTTTGTTCTCAAATGGTTAATGTTAACAACATCAACATTGCATGACAAGTAATAACTGTTATACTTTATACTTTTTGTCATACTTTATACTTATATACTTTTGGCACTTTCTGACATGGTTCTTTGGCATCAAGCCTCATCTGGACAACTCTGGGAAAGGTTGGAATGACAGCGAAATGAGATTACATATTGTCTTGTTAATTTTATTTTAATCTTAATCTTCGCATATACATATAAATGCATATAGTGTGGCTGTCCACTGTTCAATATCCCATATGTAAAGCTGTTCACCACTGCAATACAACAAGTTTACATATGAGATATTGAACAGTGGACAGCCACAATATATGCATTTATGTATATGCGAAGATTAAGTGTGTGTGTGTGTGTGTGTGTGAGAGGGGAACAGGGTCACATCACAGGAGAGTGAACTGCCTGTCAGAAATCATAGCACGTTAGCCGTCTTAACCGCGGCTTGTGTACTGTGTAGGGACTTAATTGTAATTTAAGTCGGTAATTCTATAAGGGAATTAATCATTAATTTTATTTCTAGCTCAGGTTTTGAAAGGACTCGAATCTGAAAATTCTAGGTCCACCTGATTAAAACTGAATTCAAATTTGACAGTTACACTTTAAATCAACGGTCGTCCAGCGAGCTGGTGATCTTAGTATATTTTAACAACTTGAATCTTTGCATTTTCCTGGCCACGGTCAATACAATTATGATAAGTAAGCTACGAGCTAGGTAGCAAGGGATCTTTGGCAAAGGTTTTAACTTTAAAATTATATGACACCAGACAATGATGCTTTATAAATGAAACATGAATTTTATTTGCTATTCTAGATTACATCAAAACTAAGCTAAAACACACATACACACACACACACATTTACGCATACAGTTCTGAGAATGAAAGTTGACGGAGTTCTGAGGAAGCCCAAAGTTTTAGCAAGATATTCGCTACAGTTCTCTTACTGGCATCCTGAGAAAATCACAAGCAGAGATTTGGCTTATGTTTACTGCTTAAAAGTTAGCTCGACACCAGTTCAGCAGAGATAAGATTTTGTTAGTTTACGTGCGTTTTGCTTTGGTGACAGCTGAAAGCTGAGTTGTTCCTCGTGGTTTGGGTGACGTCCTTTTGGGGAGAGCCCTCGTTGGATTGGTTGGTTGCCAGGTTACGGAAGACGCGTGAGCAGTTCTGCTGAAAAGTCTGAGTTTGCCAGACTTTAAGCTCTTTGAAGATCGCGAAAGGTTCAACTGAAGTGTTTAAGTTCTTAGATGGTCTCGCTGTGAGATGTTACGGCGCTTTTGTCGCGCTCACCAGGGCGGAAAGCCTAAGGTCTTGAGAGAGAGAAGCAAGCGTGTCAGAGAGCTTTGTGTCCAATTTTAAGCAGGCTGATTTTTGTCTGGCCCACAGGTCGTTGTCCAATCAGATGCTGTTGCAGGGCTTAGCCACGCCCAATACTGTTCCTTATCATGCATGAATCCCATGTTTCCAGTGAGGCGTATTCCTGCAAGTTTTAATACCATCTTATAAAGTGTCGTAGAACACACACTGTTCAAAATAAAACATTTTCATCCATACCAAGGTTACTTAAATATCATGACCATTCCCACAAGCCTAAACTTCGCATATCTGGCATACACAGAGTACCTTTAATCACTTTATCTAAATAAAAGTGTTATAAAATATCGATTAAACTTAATAGATTACAATAAACACATCAAACATATATATATACGGCATAACACATACAGTGGATACATTTTCACTACTTATGAGTTTAAACGATTGTCTGTGTATGTTCTGTTTCTTTGTCTGTGACAAAAGGAGTTTCAGTCGGGGCAGGAAGCAGGTGGTCACAAGATATGTGACAGTCATGCATAGATCCCGTGCTTGCAAGTCTGAGGGCTTGATTAAATTACTGTCCCTTTCCTGTTTGGATGTGATAGTTCCATTCATTGGTGGTCACAAGACATCGTGGTTTCTATATGTTGTGAACGAACCTTTTCAGTCCTTGCTACAAAAAAGCTTTGTTGTCTCTTGATTGGATCAATCTTTAATCACTCCTCTGAGTAGATGATGACACGACTGGCAGGAAGTCGACCCAGAATATTGGAGTCATGTGCTGGGGGTGATTGGTATAGATACCTCATGATGGCTGATAGGGGCATAGCAGTGTCTGTTTATGTACTAGAAATCCCTACAACTGCATCATCACTGTGTCTGTCACGTGACTCTGTTGCCCTTTCGTGTTTGAACTGATGGTAAAACTAACGACATTATTAACTGTCTTGATATTTACTTTGAAAGCTTGAAGCTCGCGATTATGGTAAGGGGCGTTACATTTTCCGACGCGTGCTTGTGGTGTTCGGCCTATCACAATGCACTGGGTCAGCTGGCCAATCAGAGCAGACTGCGCTTGTCAAAGGAGGGGGCTTTGTTTAAAACGACGTGTTTGAGAGAGGCGGGGCATAGAGGGCCTGCAATAATGTACAGTATTTGAAAAATAATGTGTTTTTTGAACATTAAAGCATGTCAACATATTCTGTTACACCAAATACACAAAATAATGATCTTTAAAATAGCATAATATGACCCCTTTAAACCCTCAAAATGCTGCACTTGCCTTGGATCAGTGGAAGGATGTGGCTGGAGCTCTGCTGTAGACTGAGCGGCTTCAACTGGTACTGGATGACTGTGTTTAAGAAAATGACTGTAAAGATGGGTATTTTGGCATAATTTTATGTGTCTGTTCAACTCGGTGTTTGTGTGCTGTCTGAAATGCGCCTCTGTGTGTGCGCGGCTGTTTG